CACTTTTGACATCTTAATTTATAATATTATTATATATATTTTATTATATATTATTATATATTTTTTATTACCACCATTAACCTATGAATTAAAATTAAAAAAAAAAATAAATAAATAAAAACTATTTTTTATGAAAAAATTATTTTGAATCAAACAAAACCATATTTATTCGTAAATCCAATACTAAATATTTATACTAATAGAATACAAAACATTATTTTTAATATTTTTAATTTTAGATTAAAAAAATATTTTTTTTAGAAAATTTACTTTAAAACTCATTTATATATACGTATATTAAGAACTTTTTTTTTAATATTAAATTTATATAATCTTATTTTTCTCCTTGTTTATTGTATGTAGACATCAGAAAGCATCGGCAAAAACATTTCGTTATAAGAAACGTTTAACGTGCACACATACCGGTCTGGCACCGAAAGAGTTAATTATGACAAAGATGGTATCCCGTGGGCAAGCGAACTTGTTTACTACCTGTCAGTCATCGGCGTATTAAAACCGGCGTCGTGACGGGCAACAACACCGTAGTAGAAAGAGATGTGAGTTAAAGAACGGCACGGAATCGGTAGTGGGCGTTAATATGGAGCCAGAAGTCGTTTTTCTTTCTCCCTTTCATCGCGAGCCTAACACGAGATAGTCGAACTGTCAGTCAAACGTTCGATAACCAATGGTCGACGATCCCTACTACAGCACGCCGAGGAAGAATCATTTTCATGCGAAGAGGGCGTAGCAAAAACTACAAGAGGCCACCGCTGCCGACGGCGCCGATGCCTCACTGCTGCGCAACGCTCTACCTATAGGGTGCTCGATAAAATTTCTGCGGGAAATTCGAGTTTGTTTTACTACTTCTTTCGTGGCATGTATTTTAGAGAATCCTGTAATTTATATGGGAATATTGCTAAAACAAAATTCTTATTGATATATTTAATTTAATATGATATATAAAATGAAGTTGAAAATATTTTTATCTTTTTATTTTTTATTATGAAAATTTTTGTTGTGAAAATTCATTTTGACACTCTGATATTTCAAAATGTAAAAAAGTTACATCTATAAGAATATGTACGTAAAATAAATAATATCGAAGAAAAATATAAAAGAACAATTAATCAAATACTATATTTAATAACTTTATATTTTAATGCAAAATATTAAAATATAATTTGTTTATTTTAAAAAGTATATATAAACGAATTAAAGATAATACGATTAAATAATAATATAAAATATTTTTTGATATTTAATAAATTTTTTAAAATACTACTTTAACTTATAAATATTAGTTTATATAAGAAAATTATCTGCATAATAATTTTTAAATAATTATTTTTCTTTTTTTACAATTATATATTTAAGATAAAAATTTGAAACGAGTATATCTTGCGTGTGATGAAAGAGAAATTTAAATTTGTTAATTTTATTTTTGAAAGTTTATAATAATTTTTGTAAAGTAATCATAAACGATCAATTTTATTCTTATAATTTTCACAATTGCTATGCAAAAGAAATTATTCCTTCGGAATTTATATTTCTTTTACATTAAATGATAATTAAATTATTTTTAACATAAAGAAATTCACTACACATTTTTTTTCTTTTTCTTTTAAATATATTATTATATATTTAAAATTTATAATATTATTTAATTGATTTGACTAGAAATTTTTTATTAAATTAATTTTTCAAAAAATATAATTAATCTATTGTATTTTTTTCACTTAAATAAAAATTGAATCACAATATTATAGTATAATTTGATTCATCGAATATATAGCACACGCTATAAGATAATGATGATACCTCATTGCAGCATCTTTGTCACTCTTTTTTTTCATAACAAATTCTTTGAACGATTTCAACCGGTTTTCTTAATACGATGTAAACACCGATTTTCTCGTTTCACCAGGGATACGCTTACGTTGCAAAGCTCGGAGTTTATCGTTTGACGTAATTCGCTTAGGACGAATTATTCCATTCTAAATGGAAACGCAAACAGCTTGACTATGCAACATATCGCTATTACCAATATGAAGTTAAATAGTTTGGTAATAGTATCTAAATCAAATATCATTTGTATTTATTTCTAAGTATATTTTGATTTTCATTCTAGTTCTGTCATAAATTATATGTTATATATTATTATATATTTAAATAACGAAAATGTATGATAGTTAAATTGATTTCCTTAAACAAATATTTAATTGATGATTAATTTAATGACTAATAATTGATTTGGTTAAAAATATTTATAAAAAATATCATACAATAATAAAAATAATAATACATCTTCATGTTAAAATTCCCGCCTCTTATTTTACAATTGACAATACCAATAAACGATCTTATGATAATTGGCTAAATTCTTTTTAAAACGTGATGTTATCAATGTATGTCAATGTATATCAATTATATGAGTTACATAAATATATTTATTGAATTACATTTATTGTTAAATAATTAATTCTTTTAAATAAATTTATTACAATTTATTTAAATTATGGCTTAAATAAATATGTTTTTGAAAACATAAATTTATGCAGCAATTGTTCATTGTACATTTCAAAACAATAGAGAAAAAAGAAAGTGTTTATAATATGCACTACTGCTATAGATAACGAATATCAACTGAGAACCAGTTGATAGTGGGCTTCAGTCGCATGGTGTGCATGATGTCATTTGAAAAAGTCGCTCTTTGAAAGACTCTTAACAATATCGATCGTATCAATCCGCAATTCTGTCAAGGCAGACCGCGAGGAATGGGCGTTCACTGGAGGGCATTGCGCACAAAACAAGTTTTTCGCTTGTATCGGCGCACCAGGAATGAATAAACGAACCTAACCTCACAATTCACAGGTGCACGGTCCAGCGGGAATTAGGTTGATCGAACGATGTATCGAAACAGCTGTTTGCATGACAGTATTTGAGAAAAGAATTATTTCTTAGCCACTTACCGTACAAAAAAATCTCGTCCAGATAAAACTTACAGGAACAAAACAACACCGTCCACTTTTATTTTTCGAAGATATTTCGGTCGGCGTGTCTGACTAGTCGAAAACTAATTTCCTTTTCGTCCACGTGATACTTCCTGGCTCGATGATAATCGTATATCGATGCCGATCTAACAATCACATGCGCGTCAACACAAATCCTTCTGTTTACTACTATTCACGCCGTACAATAAATTAAAGTAATCGGACATTTTTCAACATGCTCCTCCACAATCCTGTCTACTCCTTCCACTGACACGTCTTTTATGACGTCATCGATTCAATACTTTTCGCGAAGGTTTCTCCTCTTCATTGATACACTAACTCCGCAGCAGATGGCGACACTAATGCGATTATCGGTTCATTCAAGTGTCGCTCAAATTAAAGCGCGATATTTAAATTTATTATGAAAAAAATTATATACATTAATTTATCGAATATATGTACATTTCATATATTAATTTATAATTTCATTAATGACGTTATTAAAATAAGAAAAAACAAAGAAATAATTATTAATAATAATTACATTTACGAATATCGTTATAATTATTTTATGATAAAATATTTCATCTTTTACTTCAATTTTTCTTTCTTTTACATATTGACAAAATAAAAACGTTTGATATTCAAAGAAAAAGTAATCAAAATACTCGATTATCTTTGTTAAATTAAAATTATAACGTGTATATAATAAAAATAAATTAGAAAAGCGAATTAAAAGAATTGAAACGATGAGTAACGATCAACGATATCTTATCATTGGTTTTCTTATCAGAATACTTGATACAGAAAAGGCGTCACATTCACAGTGTGTAAAGTAAAATTCTACCGGCACGGATCTTGTGAGAAATTATGGATTACCGATTTTTAATTATTTTTATTTTCATCTTTGCGAGAAATATTAAGTGCCAAAAATCAACCTCCGAAGATATCAAAATCACCGATAATAATAATGATGCAACAAAAGAAATTGAAAATGTACAAGTAGAGGAGAAAATACCTACGATTAAACTTCCAAATTTGTGCACCATATGCAAATGTACAGGTAATTTGTTAACCAAATAATGCTCGACATCGCGTATGTTGATTATTAATCGTATTTACATAAAAAAAAAAAAAAATAATAAATTCGTTCGAAAAAAAAAAAGAACAATTATTACGAATGTAAGCAATAATAATGTACAGAAAAAATGTTTTCCTATCAGATGACATCATAAATTGCGATAAAAGAAATTTAACGTACCACTTCGAAGATTCCCAATGGCCAAACAAAACTATGAAAGTGGTATCGTTCGAGGAGAATTCGTTGGTTCACGTGAAACCGTTCCCGGCATTAGAGATCAGGAAATTAATATTAAGGAAGAACAAAATCACGAAGATCGATAATCGCGCCTTTAAAAAGATAATTAATCTGACCGAATTGGATCTAAGCCATAATCAACTTACGGCAGAAAATTTGCAACCTCAAGCATTTGAGGTAATACATTTACTTTTGTACAAACGATTCTTTTTTTTTTTTTTTTTTTTTTTTTAATAATTTATATTTCATCGTCTAATCGAAATTTCATTGGCGCAATCTTTGCAACCCCAAGCATTTGAGGTAATACATTCCCTTTTGTACAAACGATTTTTTTTTTTTTTTTTTTTTTTTTTTAATAATTTATATTTCATCGTCTAATCGAAATTTCATTGGCACAATCTTTCATTACTCATTCGACCATTACGTCGAAACGTTTAATTCTTGAAAAATTACAGCGACAAGATAAATCAATTATCAATATTGACGTTGATCTGATATATAATCTAATATTTTTTTTATATGTATTTTATTTTATTTTATATGTAAAATTACAGTATTAACTGAAACTCCAATTAAAAATTAAAAATATTTTTTAAATGATTATCTTGAATCACGTTTCTTCGATTATAGTATTGTTTTTATTTTGGCTCAAAAAGGGGGGTTTAATTTGCCTCAAGAATCATTACGTTATTTTTATTATTATCATTGTCGATACTTCGATATATAATTATGACAATTTATTTGAGTATCGTAATACTTTTTTTAGGGTAAATTTTCACCGGATATTTACGAACCGTTGGAGAAACTGGTAATTTTAAATTTGGCTCATAACATGCTTCATTCGTTGCATCACGACCTCTTCGAGCATACGACGAACATAAAAATATTGGATCTTTCTGGAAATTTATTCTCGATTCTCGACAGCCGTTCGATCATAGCGATCAGCTCTCTTTCGAATTTGGAAGAGTTGAATTTGAGTTATTGCGGGTTAAAAACAATTCCGGAAACATCATTCTACACGTGCAAGTAAATATTATATTTTATAATATACAATTTCATATAGATATACAATTTCATATAGAAAACAATGGCATAGAGATTGATTTGATTTCGAGCAATAATAGATTACGCGTGATAAGAAATACGAACAAGTATGAACATTTTTATTCAACTCTCGTTCTTCAACTTCTTCCGATCAAACATTTTTTAACACTCTTTCTTCATATTTATAACTTAATATGAATAAAGTACCATCTTATTGGCTTCGATACACTATTAATCTAATTAAATTAAACCGTCGATTAGGAATCTTAAGAAGCTGAACTTGAGCGGGAATCAGCTCACAACTGTGCCGAACGCTCTCAAAGAAGCAACGTCCCTGGAGATCCTCTACATGGATGAAAATCCGATTCAAATTATCGATAAGGAGCACTCGTTCCCAAATATGATTAAATTGAAAGAGTTAAGCCTCTGCTGCATGCCACATTTGACAATAGTTGGATCGGGCTCCTTCTCAGGATTGACATCGCTCGAGCATCTTCGAATACAAAATTGTCCAAAGTTGGAATCGATCCACGATAACGCTCTTGCATCATGGGTAATTGTACAATTCTTCATACTTCGATTTTAACATAATATTATCCTTTTTCGTGGCTTAAAGCTAGACAGATAATGAGCAAAAAAAGATTGGTCGCTATCTTTCAAAATCTCTCATAATGATATTTCAATCATTTCTTGTATATACTATATGTTGGAAAATACTGTTCCTGGATTTCTAATACTCGTTTGAATTATTATAGAAATTTATTATATATATATATAATATTATTAAAGAAGTAGTTTTAGTATTATTAAAAAATTATTATAATATTATTAAAGAAAGAATGAGAAAGATAGATAGATAAAGAGAGAGGAGAGACAATAAAGAGGAAAGAGTAATTCTCTGAAAAGATTTCTGTAAAATTGTGAAAATTGTTAATAATAATATATCCTAGAATTCGTATATCGATCGATATTTATTCTTTCTTTAGAGTTAAGACGAAGAAGAATTAAATAAAATAAAAAAGAAAAGAAATATTATAATATATTTATTATACAAAATTATCGTAGGATAATAATTCTACGGAACCTGTGTGGCCGCCACTAAAGAGACTCGATTTATCGGATAACGCCCTGCGATATTTGCCTCAGCTATTGATATCAAGGTGGGATTGGCTCGAAAAATTGGATCTGACGAACAACAAATGGAGCTGCGATTGCGATAATGAATATCTGGTAAGTTCTGGCAAATCTACAATACGTGTCTCCCTACTGTTCAACCAGCGATACCAATTTCCAGATCGATCCAGTCGATTCTTTTTTACCCTCGACACCGATCTCTTCGATCATCGATTTTAATTATAATATTTTAATCAAAAATATGAGATTGGAATTTCGTTCCAATTCATATCGGCAAAAGAGTTCTTTCATAAATTAAATCGAAAAAATATTTTCGTAATATCGAGTCGAATCGAAAACAAAACAATATCTCTTTTTTCCTTTTTTTTTCTTTTTTTAATAACGAAAGTTATGAGCTAGCTTGCTTCGTATATTCGATCTTGTTTCGAAAAAAGAGGAAAACCTGCGAACTTTTAGTCGATCGAAAGTATTCAAATCATATTAATAATTCATTCCCAAATATGAAATTGAAAAAGTTAAGCAATCTGTGCTGCCCGTGCTCCACAATATCTGCTGCCTTTTGACGTCACTCCACCATCTTCGAATACAAAACTCGATCGTTTTTAACCGTATTTATTCGATATCGCTTCGTCGAACGCAATTTCCCAAACCCTTGCATTAACCAACCTCTCCTTAACCAAAATTGTCCCCCGCATGGAACGGAATTACCGATCGAATTTATCTATTATCACTCATCATCGTGCATCGAGACAAAACGCGGAACAGCCGCGTCCAAAAATGTAATATTCCATTTCATATACCGTAACTGTCTCTCAACTCTTTGGAAAAATTTGTGAAACCAAGGAGAAAGATTTCCAAGAGATTCTCACCTCTGTTCGTCTCTCTTCCAGATCAACGTTTTGCTGCCAACGTACGGGAAAAGGTTGATGGGCGAAGAAATGAACACTCTTATGTGCGCGGCACCGCCCGAGCACGAGGGTGAAAATCTGACGTCGTTGTTCAATCGAAGCCTACGTTGCCTGGATCTGTATAACGCAAGACCGGAAAAAGACGCGATGATCCTCGTAGGCATATTGATCGGTATATTGTTCGCAATTCCCGTCTGCCTCACCGCCTTCATCTTCTGGCGCCGTGGTTTCTTCTTCTGCGGCAATTCGGGCCCGGCCAGTTTCTCGCGGGCCTTTTACAAAAGGACCATGAACAACGAAGAATTTTGAAGTTTCTCTCTCTCTCTCTCTCTCTCTCTCTCTCTCTCTCTTCGCTTCGACGAATTTCGATCCGATCGATGACGAGAAGAGATCGATTTCGAACGATGTATATAATATATAGAGATTGAAGGAGGTTTTGAATGGAGGTAATTGAAAAGAGTAACATAATATGAATAACATTTTATCATAAGATTGATAAGAAAAATGTATCAATTGATATAGAGTGGATATAAATGTTCGAGACTTGGATGGGAGGCCAAGTTCTAGAAGAAAATTTTCTATTTTGTACGTTTTGTGGATTTTAATTTATATTAACCGTGAGTTATAAAATAAGTTAGCGTAATCTTATTGAATCGTTAAGTGAATGTAATTATACGTATATTTTTATAACAATGTAATATCAATAAATTAGATCTAGAAATTATAAAATCACTTTATTAATCTCGAATCTGTGTGCATACATAATTTTTCGATCTTCAAAGTGTTTTCCTTCACTGTTCGTTCTCTCAAGAACGAAGAAGAAAATCTGATCTACAAAAATTAAATAGACAAAATTAATAGAACTTATAAATTAACAACTTCCTTCTCGATCTCATACATATAAAGAATTCTTACAAAACAACTTAACCTGATAAAAATATAAATAATAAAAATATAAAAGTAAAAACACACATAAAACTTAACCTAACATAAAAATATCGCGTTTCCATATTTTTAATTCCTGTATATATAATAATCCCCTAAACAATCCCTTCCATTCCAATTCATCCGCGAGGTAAAGAAAACTATCCACCTCTCCCTCCCTTCCAAAAAAAAAAATCTCTCAACAACGGACGACGAAACGACGACGAGCGAACGATAGCAGCCGGATAGATCCGATCATCGGCCGAACGATCCCTCGAGCAAGGCTCATTTTTCGCTCTAACAAGTCCCCGGAGGATCGGTTTAGAGCGCAGCTAGCCGCAGTTTCCGGTTTCGACAACCTAGCTTGAAGCTTGGGATTTCTGGCTTTAACGTCGACGTCGAGGAGGGAGGGATAGGGGGAAGAGGAGGGAGTTGTCGAGGCGAGTGTTGGCGAGGGATCGACGGAACGGTTGAATGGACACTCGCCTGTAACACAATTACCGGGATGTTAATTTACCCAATAATCGCGGAAGCAGCCCCCCTCCCCTCCCCCCGTCTAAATGCCGGCACGCGCCACTTCCCCTTCTGTCGCCGCCTAAAATAGAGAGGATATATCCGGGGAAGGGGTATGGGTATCGAGGGGGGAGAAATGCGAGGGTTTTACGTCGACGATTGTCGACGTCGTTACGCGAACGTTTTGCCAAACAGGTCGGGCGGGAAAGGAAGCGTTTGGAAAATGTTCGAGGATGGATCCTCTAGGTTGATGTAATAATAATAATAATAATAATAAAACAAACATTGTTA